CGACCCTCCACACGCCATGGCGACCAAGGCAGCAAACTCCATACGGGGGCGACCTACTTCCTATGTCGGTGAAGCTCAGCGGCTCCGGGTGGCACGTCTCCAGGATCCGAGCCACACGGCCCCGTGACGGCCATTGTCGTGGCTGTCTAACAAGGCCAGTTGGGAAGGGCACAGATCGACGACTACAGATGGGGTCTACGAAAGTTAATTTGGGGCTTTATATATATATATATATATATATATAGAATGAGAGAGTTTTATGGTCTATGACGAAATGGGATGCTTTGTGAATATAATTCTTACTATCAATCAATACTTGCAAAATGTCAAAGAAGACCGGACAAACTTATATATGAACGATGGAATGTCGAGTGCAAGTCAAAGCGCCGTCCAATATCAATGTCTTCACTCATGAAACAATGCTAATTGGATTGATTTGTCAATATACAAATTCAAAAAATTGAGTCATAATGTCCAGATCATGCTTTCAAGATACATATAATTCGAAAAAAAAATAAAAAAGTTTTTATAATAAAAGCAATGCCAAAACTTTTGTGAAACCGCTTAACCGAAAATAAATGCAATTCAAAATTAAAATTTTGATTATATTTTAATAGTGTAGAGTTATAATTATTAATTTCATGTTTTTTAGCAGTGTTTTAAATACCGTACCGGTGGCCATACCGGTCTAGCCACCGGTACGTGGTATTATCGGTCGGACCGGTAATATCGGCGGTATTACCGGATTAGCAAATATAATGCTATATATAGATATACATAAAAATATATAATGCCAAATGCAAAAAAGTACAAATATAAATGACCATAATCATTAATTTCAACTTCTTAATAAGATAAAAATAAAATATTTTAACTACAAACTTAAATTTTTTATTTTAAATTAAAAAAATTATTTTTATTTTTATTTTTTTTTATTGGCCAGTATTTTAGACCGGTATTTTGCGGTTTTTACGGTATGATTCCTGTACAAACCGGTATAACCGTAAATCCGGTATTTTGAGTGTAACTGTACCGTACTAATGGCCGATATCCGGTATTACCGGCCGGTACGGTACGGTATTTAAAACATTGCTTTTTAGTCCTTTTTGTTTCAAATTATTCAAATGTGGGTCGGATCATATCAAATAGACTAGTGGGAATTACACATGTTCATGGGCCGAACCGGTCAGCCTTGAACCGGCCTCCTAAGAGCCGGTTCGTTGAACCGACCTTTAGAATCACAGTTCGGTCCCGATGCATAATTTTATTTTATTTTTGTCCCCTCGGTCCGGGTCGGGCCGGGTTGGACCGTAGATTGGACGACGGGCTACAGTGTTATTTTTTTAAGGGTTGTACTGACCCGAAACCTGCCGGGTCGGTGATGTGGGATCCAGCCCAAAGTCAGCAAATGAAGTGCCAACCATATTTGAAAAGGTGGAGTAGCATTTTTTATTAATAAGCATTAAATCACAGCAGCCATTTGTTGACAATAATGGGATGCAAATTTTGACAATTGGGAGCAATCATTCCCTATAAATAACACCATTCAGCTGGATGAAAATGCACCAAGAAGCAGAAAGAAAAAGAGAGAAGAAATAACATCTTTGAGTGTTATTGTTCAGTGAGATAAAAATAGAGTGTTTGAGTAAATCCTGTGGGTGTGGGAAAAATACACCGGGTTGGGTATCAACTGTATTATTCCTTGTTTAGGAGTGAGGTCTCACTGGTTCACTATATTTTACATTTCTAGTGTAAGGGAGTGTGAAAAGATATTGTAATTATTTTGAAAATATAGTGGAATTGTTCGGAGGTTGTCCCGTGGTTTTTTCCTCTAATTGGAGGTTTTTCCACGTTAAATCTTGGTGTCTTATTTCTTGCATATTTTATTTATTTGGGATATTCTTAATATGCTCTGTGGTCGCAGTTTAATCTGATCTTCCACATCAGAAAAGAATTATTCATGTTTTATTGCAAGAGATTATTTTTCTTTTGTCATTCTTGAGTTGCTGGATTGGATTTATTGTTCACCATTTTACCTCGGTGTTTTAATTTACACCTGAGCCCAACAAGTGGTATCAGAGCTCAACTTGGGCTCTGTATCAACCAGTGTGAATTAATGGAAGAGAACGTGGGTACCATGGTGAAGCTCACAGCAACAAATTACTCCATTTGGAAGCCAAAATGAAGGACATACTTTTCTACAAAGATCTATAAGATCCTGTAGAAAAGGGAGACAACAAGCTAGATGATGTGAAGGATGACGATTGGAAAAAATTACACAGGAAGTCTGTCAGTTTAATTAGACAGTGGGTGGATATCAGCATATTCCACCATGTTGCCACAGAGTCTAAAGCCCATACTCTGTGGAACAAAATTGAACAAATGTACCAGAGGAAGACTGCACAGAATTAAGCATTCGTCAATAGAAAGCTTGTAAATCTAAAATATCGGGATGGAAGACCAGTTGCAGAACACTTGAATGAGTTTCAAGACATGGTGAACCAACTTGTTACCATGGAGATGAAACTTGATGAAGAATTGCAGGTGCTGCTACTTTTGAGTTCTTTACCGGATAGCTGGGAGACTCTGGTGGTCTCGCTGAGCAATTCTGCCCCTGAAGGAAAACTGACTTCGACACAAGTCAAAGACAGTATTTTTAATGAAGAAACAAGAATAAAAGACTCAAGGGCAAGCAGCTCCTAAGCCCTTGTCACAGAAACCAGAGGGAGAAGCAAAAGTAGAGGCCGGAATAACAAATCCAGAGATAAATCGCAGTCTCAACCTAGAAGAAAATTCAAGTGTTATCACTGCGGTGAAGAAAGGCATATCAAAAGAAACTGCAAAGCCTGGAAGAACAGAGATCGAAGGAAAAAATCAGAGAACGATGAAAATACCGCAACCCCTGTGATCAATGGGGAAGTGGTGTTGCTCTCTGTTGAAGAAGAAGAGTGTCATGTTGCAGATTCATGTGTTGAATGGGTCATTGACTCAGCTGCATCCTACCATGCAACTGTTGGTGTTATATACTTAAGCTGTGCTTTAGTGGATATTACACTTGTTATTCCTTGATGAATGAGAATTATGTTTGGTTAAATAAGTTCC